CACCTTTCTTGTTTACACTATGTAAGATTTTATGGTCGACAGATGTTTTGCTGTCAAAAAGCTTGTCTCGAATATAGATAGCGAAATCGCTAGACATTTTCAAAAAGATAAAAATTTTAATTTTTCTAAAAATATGTTAGAAAAAAAGTTTGCTGACATTGACAAGAAATTTGAGAATGTTTTAAACAAGAACAAGAGGAAGTTAGAAAATGCTCAGATAAAACCCATACATGACAAGTTCTTATTTGCTCAGAATGGTATAACAGGTCTAATTGCACCACCTGGGTCGGGTAAGACTTTCACTTATCTTAAAATGGCTGCACAACAACAAGAACTAGATGAGAAGAACCCATTCTATGAGTTAGTTGTATTTGTAGTACTTCTGGTCAATTTGACCAAACCGTCAATTCGTTCAAAGATATTATAAAGAAGTCTAAGTTAGTATGTATAAAGGATACTGAGTTGTTAGATTGGATAAAGAAGTACCAAAGAAGAGTTTTGAAGTACAATGCTATAAATGAGTATATAAATTCGAAGTTTAAAGACCCAAATGAGGAAATGCAGAGAATATTAGAGAAGAAACACTTCAGAAACAAACAGAAAGAGATAGAATACATTTCGAAGAAATTGCAATCTTACGATTGGAAGACTTACCCTCATAGATGTCTTCTTATCTTAGATGACTTTGCTTCTCATCCTTTGTTAAAGAACAGAGAACAAGACATGTGTCGAATTCTTAAGAAGCTCAGACACTTTAACATCTCAGTTGTCATTTGTGTACAGACAGCAAAGAGTTTAAGTAAGGATGTTAAAAGAATACTTACTGATATCATACTTTTCCCTGGATTGTCCGAAGACGATTTCATGGAACTTATGAAAGAGTCCATGGCAGGTAAGTTTGACAGACATGAACTATGGGAGAAGTACAAAGTCATACAAGACCCTCATACTTCTTTCAGAATTCACATCTACGCGAACAAAGTTCAAATTGTAAAAAGTCAAGCTTGAAAAATAAAGAGTTTTGGCGACCAGGGTTTTTTCACTACTCGCTGTTCTTCTCTCGGTTTTCCGAGGGAAGCAACCATATGTCATTTTACTCAGAATTTTGTTGCTGAATTCAATAAAAATAATGTTTAGGGTAGATGGGTATATCTAACCTCTTTTCTACCCCAGTTATTTTATAAGCGTTTTACATGGTAAACGTTATTTTTAAAATTTTGTGAAAACTCAACGGTTTGACACATGCCCTAAAAATTATTTTACTCATGAATTTTCATACGGAATTCAGCAAAAATATATTTTAGGGTAGAAGGTTAGATATACCCTCTTTTCTACCCTCTTTTCTACCCCAGTTATTTTATAACCGTTTCACATGGTAAACATTGTGAATTCGTGAAATTCTAAACAATTTCGTAGCTTCTATTTCTTCTGTCAGTATGTCAAAAGTTTTAACGATACCGAAAGTCTCTTTATATTTCTTCTTGACGTCAGATAGAAGGAAATCGTCAGCTGTTGGATAGTTTTTGTTCAGAAATTCTAACATGTCCATTTTATTTTCTGCTGGTTTCTCTGCCTCCCTCTTTAAGTCAGCATAGTCGTTTCTCATACGTTCTATCTCTTTGACGGAGTAGTTATATTTCCTAATTGCTGCTTTACATTTTGAACATTGTGGGTTCATTTTAGCATTGTACATTGAAATTTGACCTGCTAAAACAACTAAGGCGTCAATGGTTTTCTTTAACTCAAAAGTTGCTGGTTTTATCTGTTCGTTCCATACTTTACCTCTTTTATCTTTATCTCTTATCTGCCATACACATTTTGCAACTAACGAAACAAAGTTGTCGTAGGTCTTAAACTCTTCAGATTTATATATGTCAGAGATGTTCTTATATACCATGTCGCAATCTTTGTCCATGACTTTGTGGTTGCAATGAAATCCAAGAAACTCATAGTTAACCTTACGTATGAACTTCTTTATTTCTACTGAGTCAGTTGCTTTGACTTCTATTTCATCGAATTCTGGAATAGTAAGCTTTTGTTGTTGGATTTCAGGCAATTTGGGTAAATGGTCAATAATATCCTGCATTTCATAAAGATACTGTTCATTTGTTTCATCTTTCGCACTACAGTCTAAATTACTTGTTAAAAGTTCTTGCTTTATCTTCTGGATTTCTGTCTCAAAAGTATATGAAGAAGGAATGAAGCTTTTCATTTCTACTAACATTGAAGTTGGGTTCATGACTAACGAGTTTGGTGCTGTTGTTGCTAACATGTTCTTACAATAAAAATAAAAAAATATTTTTTTAAAAAAACTAACTTTATTTTTTATTTCGGGAAAACTCATGACAAATTCAAGAGGGTAGAAAAGAGGTTAGAAAAGAGGTTATATCTAACCTTCTACCCTAAAATATATTTTTGCCGAATTCATGAGTTTTGGTTGAAAGAATACGGTGGAGCCAAAAGTGGCTCGACCTCAAAACAAGCATTTTCTGTATAAAATTCATGAAAATTCATGAGGTTAGAAAAGAGGTTAGAAAAGAGGTTAGATATACCCATCTACCCTAAATTATATTTTTGCCGAATTCAGCAACAAAATTCAAATTGTAAACGGTTTAATAGAAAAAGTGTTATTTTTTCATGTCCGAAGACTCGAAGGTGCAACACTTCCAAAATACCGACGAACTCAGAAGAGCAGCATGGCAGTATGTTCTTGACAACTTCTTTGAGTTCTCCAGGAACACCTTGGAAAATGCTGAAGAACTCCGACACAGAGAATTTGGAGAAATTGCACTCCAATACTACCTTGACAAACAAAGGGTAAACAAAGGGTAAACAAAGGGTAAAATAAGACTAAAAACTTAACGTTTAAAAAGTGACATTTTTATGAGCTCCGAGTCACCGAGAAAACTTGGTCAGATGTTAGCAGCTTACTTCCCTGAGGAGGATGGAAGCGTTACATACGTAAGGTTCAAAAACAACGAACCTGGAATTGCGTACCAAATTCGCAATTACATGACCATGGAAGAGTACGAAAGGTTCCTACAAGAGAAACCAGCTCTAAACAACTCAGAAAAGAAAGAGTAAAAAGTTTAACTCGTAATTGTTTATTTTTTTACTTGTATGGGCAAGCTGCAAGAATGAAGTCGACTATCTCAGTCTTTGTCTTGACCAGTTGGACTGCTCTTGCGAGTACGTCTGTTTTACGGTCTCCAGCTGGTGTCTGACCTTCGTAATTGCGCATGTTCTTGAGAGCTCCAACTGTAAATGGTTGTAGGATGAAGAGTCTCTCAGACTGCTTGAGGTAGTCTTCACGGTCACGAACCGAATCTGTGGTACGAGTCGAATCGGTCGATTTGAGGGAAGAGAGTGAGAGCCTGTCTTCTTCCATTGGGGTAGTAGCATACTCTTTGCGTAAGCGGTTCAGACCTTCCTCGAACTCTTGGTCTCTCTTGGATTGAGATTGGAATTGTGGGGCAGGGTTTTGCATAAACATCCAAGGGTTGGGGAAGTAAGGCATAGGCTGAGGAGGAGGGTAGTTCGGGAAGCCTTGTGGTGGGTAGTAACATTGAGGTGGAAATTGGTAGTAAATCGGAGGTACTTGCTGGAACTGAGGTTGCTGAGGAGACTGTTGTGGTTCTGCAGCTTTCGGTTCTTCTGGTTGGGATATGGGCTCGGTTGGTGGGACGTCGGACATCTGTTTGTGGCTTAACCGTCGGAAGGAAAAACCTTTCCTGTCGGAAGGAAAAACCTTTCCTGTCGGAAGGAAAAACCTTTCCTGTCGGAAGGAAAAACCTTTCCTGTCGGAAGGAAAAACTTTTTCTGAAGTTCGACCAAAAGTTCTCAATTTTCGAAAATTTGAATGGTTTACGGACGGACAACTGGAAGAGTTCTTCCTGTCGTCGGGAAAATTTTTTCCAGTTGTCGGGAAAATTTTTTCCAGTTGTCGGGAAAATATTTTCCTGTCGGATGGAAGGACTCGGAATGCCAGAAGGATTTGACGAGGCAATTTACCTTATAGAGATAAATGAAGTTGTTAAGCAGTACTTGCGCAGGGTAATGAAGCCCAAGGTCAAGTTCACCAGTATTTCTGGAAGGTCTACACTTCAGCTCGAGACTTCGACTGGAATTCCAATTCAAATACCAGACGGGACAGCCTACGACGACATAAAGGACGCCAAAAGAGAAGCTCTTGTTAAGTTCCTAAACAAACGTCCTTGGATAAAAATACCAAACAAGGAGAACCCCCTACCCCATATGAAATTGGCAATTCAGTCTCTCCTTCACTTCTCGGGTCAGCCGTTCTACATAACCTGTGAAGGCGACATCCAACCAGTTCAGTCAACCTTAACGTTTTGAGTAAAAACATTTTTTTTCATTTTTTGAATGAAGCAAGTTAAATTCGTCCCACACCAATCTCAATGGACCGATGAAGAGTTTCAAGCCATGGTTGAAGGCGTTGAGAACGACATAGACGGCGAACTTGAAGGAGCTCAAACCACAATTGCAACCAAAATTGCACAAGTCAAGGAACAGATAGCTCCACTTAAAGCTACCAAAGCTACTCTTGACCTCATGGATACTTACCGTTTAGAAGTAAAGAGTGGAATAAGACAATTAAAATTAAAACTTCTAAACTACGAAGCTATACTCCAAAAGTTAGCAGAAATGAGAAGACTTTACCAGAGCTACTTACATGTAAGGGACTTACCTTCAAGCAGTCCGACCAAAGATGAATTTTCTGACATTGTCCCAATTTTGTCCGAAAGTCAGCTCAGATGTTTTGAACTGCTCCCAACATATCCAGAATATGAACGTTTGCCTGAACTCTTCCGCAATCTCAAAAAACGTTTTTTGGTTCTCATGTTCGAAACTTTTATCGGAAGAGACAACAAACGTTCAGAAGAAGAACAAGATATTATTTTAAACTTGTTGTATGACTTAACCGTCATAACAAGCTTTTTGAAGTAAAACCGTCATTCTCAAACCACTTCATTTTTTCGATGTCCGAACAAGCACCGAAGCCGAACACAATGGCAGATGTCCTTTCAATGTTGCCAGACAAGCGCCCAGTTCAAATTCAAATTTTGAATTTGAAAGCTCATCTGACAAACACCGTTAAGACTCTCCAAAGTAGTCTTATGGAAGAGATGACCAAGCTCAAAGCCGATGTCCTCATGAACCAAGCTTCCAATGAGAAATGCCTGAATGATTTGACGGAAACCTTGCGCATTTACGCGAGAGAGAACCGAGACCTTGCCAGACTCATCTACCGTTTCTTCGAAGAGATAGACGCCATCTGGAAGGTACTCGGAAAGGACAGAACCTCCAACACCGTAATTCGTGAACACAGAATTGCGAAGGTATTATCAAAGAAGAGGAAGAAGAGGAAGAAGAGGAAGAAGAAGAAGAAGAGAAACACGAAGAAGAGGAAGTTTGGGCAACCCTTGTTGCCGATGACGCTTATGAAATTTCCCAACCCTACCCATACAAAATCCGCAACAAGGAGACAGGCAAGGTTCTTACCCCAGTCCTCAACAACTTGGGACACTTGAACCTTAACCTTCGGAATCGCGGTTCAATTTCCATGGGCAAGCTTGTCGCAATTCAATGGGTTCCAAATCCAGACAAGAAGACGAGGGTCAGACACATTGACGGTGACAAGCTCAACAACCGTAAGGAGAACCTCGAGTGGTTCTAAGAGTAAAAAAATTTTATTTTAGGGGGAAACCCCAAGTAAATTTAGGTGTTTATTTGGATAAGTATGTGAAATTAAGGTCAATTTGCAAAATTAGTTCCCGACCTTTGAATTGGACTCTTTCGTTCTCCCAGTTGCGTAGGAGGTCGTCCCAGAGGAGTTGGTAGATTTGCCAATCCAAGGACGATTTGTCCTCCCAGGCATTGAGGATGTACTGCTCGTAGAGTCTCATGACCTCTGCCTTGCACCAGACACCCTCTCCCTTGGAACGTAAGGCTTCTTCGAAGTGCTCGAATGCGATTGGCTGCTTGACCATCCGAAATGACACTTTTTGTACGTTTGGTCAATGTTCGTGTCTCGTGCCATAGTCGACGAAAATACAAACAAACAGGTTATATATGAGTTTGAGACCAAGAATGGTGTAACTCGACCTGTCCGATTCAAAGACTCCGAGGGCGACCATGAAATTAAACGGAAATTAGCTAGGAAGGAATATAAAAATTTTTTATTTCATGCAATGTTTTATTTCTGTGCCATCTTCTTTAACACCCCAGTACTTACGCTTGGAGAGGACATGAACTTCGGTGAAAATTTTGTCCAATTTGAATTGACCCATCTTTTCACCGACCATTCCCATTTCAATGAGTTTGTTGTATCCTTCTTCGTTCGTCATGAGTGCGTCAATGTTCTCATAGTAAACCTTCACTTTGGATTTGACTTCGGAGAAGAATTTGTTGTAGTTGTCAAGGACTGCCTTTGCGAACTGAGGATAGGACCAATGTTCGACAATAGGTTTTAATGTGGTTACTAAGCCACTTTGACCTTGAGTGAATTCGTACTTCAAAACAAAAGGAGAAAACCTTTCAACAAAGTTGTCGACCTTCTCATAATGTTTACTCTTCATCTCTTGAGGTTTCTTAATGGAATATCCCCATGTCGAATTCATAAGCAATTTGAGTGTCATTGCAAGTTTGGGGTTTGAAGCTTTCCTAATATCATACAGTTGTTGTATGACTTTTCCAACTGTATAGTTCCTTCCTGGGAACTCACCGTCTTCGTTTGGAATTCCAGTTGGATATATTGGACGAACCTCATGTATGCAGCGTTAAGGTCGACATAGTATATCTTTTCTTGAGTCGAACTTGTCGCAACCAATGGTCCAGTTCGTGGAAATTCAAGTGAGTCTCTTATCTTCTGAGAAACTTCGCCTGTATCTCATAAACATCGTCGAAGCAACCTGTTTCATATAAAACCTTCTGACCTAACTCCGATGCTCTCCAATACAATTTGACGTCAATTGGATGTCTCAATGGAAGTTTGTTTATAGCATCTTGAAGTTCTTGCAACCTCATTGGAAGTTCTTCTGGTTCAGGTTGGTATCCGAACAATCCAACTCCTTTTGGAACAGTGTACTTCTTTTGTGCTATAACTTTGTCTGGAACAACTTTTGGTCTTGCTAACAATGAAAAGTTTGTTTCGTCTTTTGGTACAAAAGTTTCTGTCAGCTTGTCATCTGGAATTGGTTCCAACAAACCTTTCTCGAAAAGAATGTTTACAGCTCTGACAATGTTGCACTTGCCTTTTCCGAACAATGGGTTTGTAAGACTTTCGTTCAACATGAAGTGGTTGTGGACAATTGCAATCTTCAACCATGGTAAGTCTTTGTCAACAACATAGTCGTCATGTGAAGAACCTTTAGCTGTAGGTATGTTGACTCGGATATTGACATTTGCCAACGGTGCAATTTTTGCCAATTGACCTCTGAGAATGTACCTTGTCTTCACACATGACTCAAGATACTTCATCTTCTCATCTGTAACAAGACCAGAGTTCCTGAGACATGTAAGAATGCAAGGTTCATTGACAATTGTTTCAATTGAATTGTAAATTCCATACCTTGTCAAGTCAATGTCAGACTTATTTATGAACGGGAAGTATCCAGCATGTTGTCTGACTGCTTGAGGGTTAGGTTGGTACCATTCGAACTTGACACTTGCAATTCCTTCAATTGCATTCAAAATGTCTGAGTCGGAGTCAACCATTTGTTCTCTCTTTGTAGTCTTGAAAGCGTCAAGAAGCATTGCAGCTGTTGTGACATTGCCATGTGCATAGTAAATGTGACCATCCAAATCTGTTGGTTAGTCTGAGATTGTATCCTTTCTTATTTCCATCTTGAATGGCAGCAAGTACACCCATGAAGCCTTCTTTGTTCTTTCCTTCGTCAAAGTTTACTGTAAAGGTTCGACCAGATGTAATTTGACTTCTAACTTCACGATACTTTTCATATGCATATCTTGTTCTTTCCATGGGAGCATGTGCGTCTTCACCTTTTCCTTTTTTCCTTCTCAAAGGATGCAATTGTTCGTCATGTTTCCAGTAGAATCTGGCAAAGCCGTCGTGTCCTTCAACTTGAGGTTCACTAACATCGAAAGGCATGTCCATAAGACGTTCTTCTTCTAACCTCTCTAACTGTTTGGATAATTTGCGCGTGCTGTTTCCAAGTCCATTTCATAGGTAGACCAGCCAGTTTGTCATAGACTTTTATGGGTCTTCCCTTCCTATATTTAAACTTCTTCGAAACTTTCCAACCATATCTTTCTAACTCTGCTTTTATTCTAGCAGATTCTATCCATTCTATATGGGGGCATTTTTATAAAAATAAAAAAATGTTTTTTTTCTTTACTTTACATAACCGCCTGCTGCCATAAGTCTTTGACGCCAACCCATACCAGCTAATGAAGGTTGACTTGGTTTAGTTTGGAAACTAAACTTTGGTTTTGGTTTATCTTCAGTTTTTGGTTTTTCTTCTTCTATCGGTTTTTCGTCACTTTTCGGTTCCTCTGACTTTACCTCACTTGCAGGAACAGTTGTGTCGTCAACATCTTCATAAATATCATATGCCATTTGTTTTTGTTTTCCTTTCAACTTTTTGTGTTTGTTGTAAAGTTTAGAATATTTCGACTCTAAGTCAATGAGATGTTCTATAATGAACTGTTGGTCAGTGAAGTAAACTTTTCCATCTGTTGTCTCGAAAGCTCCTTCAGACTTCAATATTTTATTTGTGAGAGTCTGTTTCTTTTTTGAGATACTAGCCGTTCCATTTCTATGAAAAGTGACTTTATAGTTAGGGTTTGTATTTCCAGACCTGGCACTTTCTATTATTGAATTTTTCTCTTCATCTGTAAGTTCTTTGACAGGTTTTGACAATGGTTCTGAACTTTTTGTTTGTGGTGTCAAATCTACCGTTTCAACTTCTTCGGTCATTTCATCTCAGTAAAAAATTTTAGTTTGGTTTGTTTTCAACTGGTTGTTTTGTTTTTTAAGTCGGTCTAAAACTTCCTGAGGTATAGGAAGAACTTGACAAACACGTGGTTGTGTAACTGCTGGAAGTCGACAAATCCATCTTGAACCCATTTGTCTCAATGCTGTATTGTTCATTTCATCTCAGTAAAAAATTTACATTCCCCACGTTTGAGGCGGTTGCGGTTGGTTGTTGTTTACCCACTGTTGTGCATGGTTATATCCTCTGTTAAAGAATCTTTCACCTTGGTCCATATAGTGTCCTGCTTGGTTATAGTAGTCATTTGCTTTGTTATAATAGTTTCCTGCTTCTTCCTACATTGTCCATCCATCCTTGAACTTTTCCTCTTGTTTCAGGATTTGGAATAAGATTTGTGCATCTCGTGCTACCTCCCAACCTTTCTGTACAGTTTGTATAATAGGTTGTGCTTTCTCTTTAAGTATACCTAATGTACTCAAAATCTTCCTTCCAACTCCAAATACACCTCTGGCTATTGTTCCCACTGCGGGCAAAAATCTGGATGCAACTCCTGCTAATGCGCCAAATAAACCCATTTCTTATAGGGTAAAAATGACGAATCCAAACAAGGACCCCTATGTTTCTAAGGCAACAAAGAAAGCACTCATGATAAAAATCTTTAGTTCAACACCAAATGCTTGGTTTATGGATATCTTGGAAAACATTCCGAGGTATAGAGAAGATGGACCACCATACTGGCTAATATTTGTCGGTCAAAACACAAGATACTGTGAAGCCATACCATTATGGTCCAAAAATATTTTAGATGTGAAAACTGCTTTGACAATATTCGTTGACAAATACCATCCAACAAAACTGACATCTGACTGTGAAAGTTCTTTCAAATCAGACGATATTAAAAACTATCTGCGTTCAAAAAATGTAAACCAATATTTCATTGTCGACCAAAACCATTCTGCTCTTGGTGTCATTGACAGTTGTATAAAAATCTTAAGAGACTTAAATCAACCACAAGGTGGTGAGGTAGATGAAATGTCATATGACGACAAATATAGACATTCTCCATGGCAAAGATGAGACAAGTTTTAAATATTTACAATAACCGTAAACAAAAAGGTTTGGGAAACCACTCCCCCGAAGAAATGAAAAACAACCCTGACTTAGAGAAAGACTATATATTTAATAGTTTAGTCAAAAGAGACAAACAAGAAAGAATGCCAGGCTTCAAACTTAAGAAAGGTGACAAAGTAAAAATAGAAATACCTAAACGCGACCCATATGAAAATACTATTGACTATGACAACAATGGGAACTCGACAGGTACTCACATTCGTGTTCGTAAAAATAGAAGAAAGTATACAAGAGAATATTATGAAGTTTTAGGCAAACATGGCAAAATGTACAGACTGCAAGCAGAAGATAAAACTACTATTGTCAGACCTCGTTTCAAACTTGTCAAAGTTCAAGGTGGTATACTTTCAAAGACAGTTCCTAACAAATATAAGACAACTCCTGACGAATATGCTAAAGAAGTTGAAAATGACGACTAAGCAATTCTATACCATGCGTAAACTGTCATGTAAGGTGGCATGTAGTCTTTACTTTGTCCCGTTGTTTGTATATCCGAAACGCGATGTGTATGGTTTCCATCTCCCTGAGTGTCACTCCAGTAACAATTTATAGCAAACTTAACGTCGTCTTTAACATCATATCCTTTACCTTTTGTCATTCCTGACCAATCCCAATATCTATGCTTATGCCAACCTGCTTGAGATGTACTTAAATCTATGTAGTGACTGTGTGCAGGTAAATTTTCACCTGAAATCGTTTTACTTCCACCTGTTTCCTTTGAAGAGTTTGCACAATACAAAAACCTGTCGACTATTTGAGTCCAAGTTCCGAGACCAAGTACTACTTCTGGTCTGGTAGAGTTCATTGACGTATAAATAGAACCTATAGGATATACTGTTTGAAGTATTTCTGTCTTTAATGTTTGAAGCTCTGTTTTGTCTGCTTTTTTATATAACTTTTCTTCAAGTTCATTTACGTCAGAGATGCTATGTCTATGATATTTTTGTGGGTATGTTCCTTCTGTCCATGCTAAAATACGTTCTTTTGTTGCATCTACATATCCAGCTATCCATGTCGAGTCTGCTTTTGTATTCCTTAACTCTGTAACACCTTTCTCAAGCTCTTTCAACTGTTGTCCATCTTCCATTAAACCTCTGGTATGACTTGAAACCGTTTGTGTCAACATATCTACAGTTTCTTTGTCGGCTTTAAGGTCTAAACATCCTGAAACCCACCCTGTATTGGCTTTACCTTCTAAAATCTTCGATGTCCGTTCATGGTACCATTCAACCCTTTTTATAATTTCATTGTCTTTTTCATCCACATATTCCTTATCTGCCTTCTTCACTAACCACTAGCCAGATATGCTAACTCATCGTCAACATACTCTTTGTCAGCTTTCTTTTCAACATCCTCTTTTGTTGCATATGTTGCATCTGCTCTGTCATGTTCTTCTTGAACTTTTTCAATGACATACTCTTTGTCAGCTTTGTTGTCAATATCTGCTTTCAAAAGAAGTTCATCTATAGGTTTCTCGTTTAAAGTTCTTTTTGTTGGATTTATACAAACAGTATGGTTCTTGTTGTCTTGAAACAGAAACTCGTCTGTCATTGGGTTTAATGTCAGTTTTAGTTTCCTTCTTTCAATGACTCAGATATCTTAGAATAGTTTGAAAAGTTTGTTGTGTTCTTATTTAGAGCTTGCATAATGAGTTGTCGGTTGTGTTGTATTTCTCTCATAGACGCTGTTTCATTTGACATTTTTATTCTAGATAAAATATGCTTCCAATAGAAAAAGAAAATTCAAGAGTTGCTACAACTAAACCATTAGATGAACTTTTTACGAATGTCGGTCAAAAGTTTGAGACAGAGACCGTAAAGCATGAAGGCTATCGTTTTGACTACCCATTAAGATGGCTAAGAGACCCATCTGTCACAAAAGCTATTGGCTTTCGTAGAATGAAGTTTGTGTCTGTAGAAGATAAAAGTTTTCCATTTATTGTAAGGTTTCATATAGATTATATATCTGAAGGGAAACGAAAAATGTGGGAAGAAATTGAGCTAATACAAGTTGACCTTTCATCTTCTCTACAGACTGCGTTAAAAAATATAGAAGATAAAATAAATTCATGTTATGCAAAATATGCTGATGAATATGCAAATACCGAGAGCACACTTTATGTGAGAATTGTATATGACAAACAAAATTCACAAGTGTCATTTCAAATCTACGAAGACAATCCAAAGAAAGACGAACAAATATATACAGAATTCACTGCAATGTCATGGTATTATTTGCAAAGAATGTTAAATCAGAAAGTCGAACTTCCTTTAGCAAATATTTACAGTCGATATGCAAGAGATGAACCATATTTATTTAAAGATGTTTTCGACCCAGCTGCTATTATTGTTCATGCTTCATTTTCTGGCGCCCAAAACTCTTTCTTATGCTTGGCAAATGACTTTTACGAAAAACCTACAAAGTTATACGAACCACCAAGTGGAAGTATTTCAGACTTTCAAGTATGGTTTACTACAGATGGAAGAAAAAGAATAATTCCATTATACCATGCGTTTTACTTAGAACTTAGTTTCATATACAACTACTATCGAACGATAAAAATATAATTTTTTAATACGGTTGAGGTGTTGGATTTGGTTGCCAACTAGACTGTGGTGCAGGTTCAGGCTGTTGTATAACAGGAGCTTGTTCTTCTGGTTCAGGGTCTTTAGGTATAATACCAACGAACTGACCTACTCTTTTACCAATATTTTTGACTCCGTTCCAAATTCCTCTTCCGACAGATTTTTATTCCATTCCATATACCTCTTCCAACATTTCGAAAGAAGTTTCCTATCTTACTGAAGAAACCCATTTTACTATATGTAAAAATCTAATGTCCGCCTAGTCTCTTACGTTTCCTGTTGAGTTCCATAGCATTCTTTAACTGGAGCTCATACATTCTGTTTCTCCTCTGGTAGAAAACATATTCTGGGTCAACTCCTGTGTTCGCGTCATCTGCATAAAGTTGTTTATATCCCACTTCAGGGTTTGTATAAAACTCTTTCCATCTCATATTTGCATACCATGGTGGCAAACCTAACGCAGCGTCATTTGACATGGCAGTTTGCATTTGTACATCTGTTGGCACTTGACCATAGTTTGCCATTGCAGTTTGTATTCTAACTTCATTTGGAATATTCTCTGGGTTTGGTTGTCCAGGTTGCTGTGCATTCGCTAAGTTCTGTGCGTCCATTTAATATTAGATAAAAATATCTCTTACGAGTACATATACTGGACATTTGCAGGCATTGGTTCATCTTCATATTCTCTGTACTTTTCTGCCACGTCAAATAAGTAAATGACACAATGGAAAAAACCTAAAACAAGTAGTCCTATTTCAAACCACATTTACTTACCAATAAAATTTCTTTGTTATGACACTTTCTCCAGTTTATAGGACCTCTCTCATATTCTATCTTATCGTATCTAAACTCATAGTCATGTATGTCCTCTAACCATCTCATGACACTTTCCAAACCACTTTTATCGGATGTAAAGTAAAAGCATGGATGGTTATGTAAAACGTCTAAAGTTTCTAAAGAGTCTCTCAAAGTCCAGTCTACTTGGTATTGAAAATCCCATGTGTTATAGAACGGCGGGTCCACTATAAAGAAAACATTTTCCTTGTCTTTATATTTTTCATACAACTCTGTCCAATGACATCTCACAAACTCTATACCCTCAATATATTTTTCTATGTCCTCTTTGAAAACATTTGTATAGTTAAGATATAAAACTTTTGACATAAGTGTTTCAATGTCATGAACTCTTATAGCACCACTATATAATAGTCTAGCAGATATACTATCCCAGTCTATATATTCTGCTTTTTTCAAAACCTCTCTCACAATATTTTTCTTATCTAATGGTATACGTTCCATCTTACCTATAGGTATCTTTTCTTTTAACTCTTTCAATATATTGTTTGTGTCTGGTATATGTTTGAGACGGTCCATATAGTTGTCGAAGTCATTGCATATAATCTTTGAGTCAGGAAATACAGTATGGCACAAATGGGATATATAGAAACTTCCACCGAACAAATCTACAAATGTTAGACCATTCGGTAGTTTCTTAAGTTCTCTCAATATAATATCTTTACATCTACTCTTATTTCCAAAGAACGGTAACGGAGGTTTTGTAAAATTCATTTATATATAATAATAAAAATGTTTTTCCCTGAAAAGTGACAGAAAAGTGACAAAACATGAAAACATATATAATTTGTGAAAAGCGACACATTATATAATGTTTTCGACCCAGAAGAAGGCTTCTTCCCAGAAGCAATGGAGGAAGAAGAAGAGTCCTCCGAATAAAAACTTCATTTATACTAAACATCAACATCAGGGCTAGAAGGCACGAAGTGCCTGGAAGCCCCACTACCTTTTTTTTTTTTTTTTTTTTTTTTTTTTAATGTATATTAGGAAAAAAATATGTATGAATTATCTAAACTAAACAAGAAAAAAAATTTTAATACAATAATATTATTTCATCCAACTCTCACATAACATCTTGGCATAGTCTTCACTTGTTTCTGGTACATTCATTTCTTCCGGTGGCTTAAACGGTATCTCCGGCGGGTCGAAGATATGGTCCACCCACGTGTAATCAACTGTATTCAACTGAATCATTGACCACAACTGTTCAGCCGCTATCATTCTGTATGCTCTCATTTCCTTTGACTCGTCAGGAATTTGCTGGATCACTGGCATTGTTGGTTGGGGCTGGATCTGTTGTTGTACAGGTGGTTGCGGGGGTTGTGGTTGTACAGGTTGTTGCATTTGAGGAGGAATCTGTTGTTGTTGCATTTGTGTCATTGTTTGAGCGATTTGTTGCATTTGAGTTGCCATTTGAGGGTAATTTGGAGCAATTTGTTGCATTTGAGGTGCCATTTGGGGAGGAATTTGTGGCATTTGTGGTTGCATTTGTTGTTGAACTTGTTTCTGTAATTGTTGTTGTATCTGTGGAGGAATTTGTTGTGCCTTATTTTGTTGCATTTGTTGCTGTTGTTGTTGTACAATTTGTTGTTGAATTTGTTGTTGAATTTGTGGTTGTAATTGTGCCTGCATTTGTTGTTGTATCTGTTGTTGAGGCATTTGTTGTTGAATGTATTGCTGCATCTGCGGATATTGTTGTGGCATTTGTTGCATATACTGTTGCATTTGGAATTGTTGTTGTTGCTGCTGTTTGGGCATTTGTTGTTGATATTGTTGTGTTGCCATTGATTGCATCATTTGTTGTTGCTGATTTTGCTGCAATTGCTGATGCATCTGTTGCAACTGTGGTGGTGGTAATTGGTCTTCTGGTTTATTACTTTCGGCAAATTGAACAACAAACCAAGTAAATAAATTTTTTGTTGGTTGAGGAAATTCGATTTTGATGTTAACTTGTGATTGAACATTCTTTCTAATCACGAAGTAACTCATCTCTTGTTCATTGGTAGCAAGGATCTCTTGTTCATCTACTTTTATCATGTTACATGAATAATTTCCATCCAAACAGAAGAAATTACCAATGATGCATACATTTCCTTTGTCTTTTGGAACATCTTTTGCGCGCAAATCAAATGTTTGTGGTGGAATCGAAACATTCCTGTAGAATGGTTTTCGTTTCTCGATACGAGAATACCCGGGAGGAAACGATGGATCAGTAAACCTCTTGTAATTTCCATCGATTTTCAGCCATTCCGCAAAAGTTTTGATTTGTTGAAGAATGTTCGATGAATAGAGATTTACTGATGCACTTAAATGGTCGAATAAAGTGCTGACTGGATCTTCCTTCTTCCTACCGGGTAGATTAAAGAGCCTCGTGAGCATTTCGAAACGATCTGGCATCGATTTATACATATCTTGGAGATAAACTCTGAACATTTGAAGTTGATCGTTTTGCTGGGGTTGAAGGGTCTGCATCATGGGCTGCTGCATTGGATTAGGCATTTGCTGGGTCATTTGCTGCGGCATCTGCTGTTGCTGGGACATATTTTGGGCCATTTGCATCGGATTAGGGGTAATTTGGGGCGGATTAGAGAGTTGTATGGATTGTCGTGATGAATGTTGTTGTTTGACTTGGCCTACATGCCCGGGGTGCTGTACTTGCATCTGTGAAGAGATTGTAGATAATTGTTGGTTCATCTGGTTTCCCATTTGATTCATTTGGTTTGGCATTTGCATTTGGTATTGGTGCTGAGCCATTTTCTGGTTAGAGGCCATTTGCATCTGTTGAGGGGTTGGAGCTTGTTGCATATTTTGCATTTGCTGCATTTGGTTCATTTGATTCAACTGTTGTACTGATTGCATTTGTTGCTGCATAGGCATTTGTTGGGGTGGTGGCTGGTTTGCGTTTGATGGAGACATCGGAGAATACGGTGTAGAAGGTTTACTCGATTTTGACTGCCGAGGCGCCATATGCTTTTGGTTTTGTCGGTTAGATCGCTGTTTATTTCGAGGCATTTGTTGATTTGGATATTGCATCATATTTTGAAAGTTTTGCATCTGCATTGCGTTACCTTTCATTTGATTTGGATTCATCATTTGCATTTGCGGGTTAAATGGATATTGGTATCCGGACATCTGACGTTGCAAAAATTGATTCTGCATTCCAGGTGCCATATTCATGAATTGTTGGAATTGTTGATTCTGCATCTGTTGCATCGGATTCTGCATAGGATTTTGCATGCCGTTTATTTGATTTTGCATTTGTTGCATTGGATTTTGCATTTGATTAGGCTGTTGCCCTTGATTTGACATTTGCTTCTGTGATTTTTGGCCCGGAGATGGTTGAGGAGTTTGAGGTGGAGTGTATCCACCCATAAATCCGTCATTCATTGGCGCCAATAATTTTTTTTTCAATGAAAAGTGTCAACAAGTAATACAGTTTGAAACAATTGAACTTATTGAACTGTGAAATTGCATGTAATGTAACCAAAAAAGAAGGAAATTCATTTAATTTCTGAATAAAATATAGTAATTCGATATTAAATTGAAAAATTAATGTTTTTTATGTGAATATCCTTCTAAAATATATAATTAGATATAATTAAATTTCGGTTTAATTTTTGTTTTGCAAAAAATGATGAGAAAAATAGAGATATTTCACTTTGAAAAATAATTTTCGATTTTTTTTTGGAATTTTTGGACATTAATTTCTTATAATCTATGGATTACAATAGGATATTAGAGTATAAAAGGTTCTACAATGGATAATTCACTAGGAAAAATGAATCAATTAGGAGAATTGAAGTTTTTTCATATCTAAATTAAAAGTTATTAAGATGTTAGAAAGAAATTATCACTAAAATTTCATGTTTAATAGCATGTATCACACATGAATCCTTGAATTTTTTTTACTATTTTATTATTCATATAATATCAAGTTAAGATGTAACATATCGATAATATTTGCATTAACACTATGAATATATTATTATATTCAACATATTTGCACATCAAATAAAAGTTAGATCACAAAATTGTTCAAAATCATGGAGATATATTAGGAAAAATAAAAAATTTACTAGACAAAAACTCATATATTTTTCTGTTTGTTGTGATGGAATATACTATCTTTATTATGAGTGTATTTCTGAGATAAATTTTTCAAAAAATGATTGATTGATAACATTTATCATTTAATAAATTATTCTTCTCTTAGTGCTATTTCATTTTATAGAAATAGATATTGAATTTTGAAGTTTGCTCGTCTTGATTTTTGCAATTTGAGATTTGAACGATGAATTGGTTTGTTCTGCAATAGTGAATATTTTTCCGTATTCCATCATTATGCTTTTGCGCAATAAATTTTGGAAATTCAAATATTTACATGCCTTGATCGTCTTAGTAATATTGAATTACTCTGTTAGAATCGCCAAATTGGGATATGGCTCAATACCTTCTCCTATCTTTCAACCAAAAAGTCCCCGCAACTGCAAATGGACGTTCTTTGGAAACAATTGTCCAAAATGCCTCACAAGGTTTTGGGACAGTTAAGGAATTTAAAGTATCAAATGAACTTGCTAAGTTCACATCAACTGATCAGCTTATGTCTGTTGCTGATGAATTGACCAAGATCGATACAATCGCATTTGGTCTTGTTACACGTGCAGCACGTTCAATTCAAGATCTTGCAAAGAAGATCACTTCTGATCACAATGACGGCTTCGCTGATGTCTGCCCACAAGAAACATTCGGACAGGTCGATATACCACAGCTTCATGTTGAAGTTGATGACGAAAATGACGAAGAGCAACTCAAATTCGATGAAGCTCTCGAAAAATGGAAGTGGAACGAAACCATCTTCTCATCAAACAGACTTATCGATGAAATGCATAAAAATCTTCAATCCGAAGTCAGCAGAATGGAAGAAGATTTACGTACATCAGGCACAGCTTTCACAGAAGCCCAAACACGCCTTAACAACCTTCGTCGTCGTAATGAAGGCAGCCTTCTTGTTCGCTCTCTTGACCCAATTGGGTCCAAGATGCAGCTCGTTCAGTCCCTTGAAGATTACAAGGCTTCCAAGGCTGTCAAATCCCCAATCTACGTTGATACAGCCAACTTGACAACAGTTCTCGTTGTCGTTCGCTCAGCCAATGGCCAACAATTCGAAAAAGGTTACGAACTCGCAGAGAGCTACATCGTTCCAAACAGCTGCCAGAAGCTCGAACAGGATGGCGATTTCATCTGCTACGCTGTTACACTCCTTCGCGCTAATGTCGACGATTATAAGACAGCTGCTAAGGAGAAAGGTTGGCACGTCCGTGATTTCAAGTACAGCGCTACAATGCGTGAAGATATGATCAAGGAAGCAAAGGATGCTGTCGATCATTACCTCAATGAATGCAAGAAATACAAGGAAATCCTCGAGAATACATTCTCACACCTTTCCGTCGTTTGGATGCATATCCGTGCCCTCCGCGTTTTCGTTGAATCTACACTTCTTTACGGTATTCCACCGAATTTCAAGGCTTATCTTATCAAATCGAACACAAAGGGTATGCAGCGTATCCACAAGAACCTCGAGCAGGTATTCGGTGATGACATGGGTGGAGATGATGACGATGGTGCTGATGTCGATAGCGAATACCATCCATATGTTTCATTTAACTTCAACCTTCTCGGTTTGATTTAAGAATAAATTTATCTTTCTTTTTCTATTTTCTTTGAATATTATATTCTTATTTTTTTAAAAAAATGTCAAAATATTATTTTTTTTTTGAATAAAAATCTTAAAAAAACCATAACAATGTTTGATATCAGGCTTATAGAACTTTGTTATGGTAAAAGTAGTGAGATGTAAATTAAATCTTTTAGATAAACTTGATTTCTTTGTCATAAATAAAAATAAATAATCAACAAAAAATTGCAGGATTGTTATAAAATTAACAAACACATTTTATGGCTTCTTGATGTGCTTGGAGCCAACCTTTCTGTTACGGCTCTTCTTATCAAGTGAAACTGGGTGCTTCTTGAGTGCTTGTTCAACATAACGAGCAGCAATACCACCAATTGGGTGATCACGCTGCATCTGATCGAACATTGCTTGAAGAGCTTTCTGATTAGGAACGTTCATTAAATTTACACGACGATAAATATAAAATAAGTGAAATAAAAATTAGTTCGTTCTTTCATGTATGACTCTAATTAAATTAATACATTTTATTTTCCCTAATAATGTTGCCTTATATTTGATATTTACAAATTTGATCGAAATCAAATGCTTTAGTCACAGCTATCAAAAATATAGTATACAATATGCCGAAATGTTATTTCATAGCCACAAAATTGAACTATAATGAGAAAATTGCTGAAATCCAATAAGAAAATACAAAATATTTTGCACAATGAAAGTGTACATATAAAAATGTATTACGGAAGCTCTTGATGAACTAAATTAATATTCCAAAGTTGCAAAAAAGTGACAATTATTTTTCATATGGAACCAACTTGGTACAATGAGAAAATTCCGGACGATTCACTCAACGAAGAAGATCCGAATTGTGAAGTAAAGAAAATATTAGCAGATAAGAAAAAAGAAGACGATATGTATTATCTAATTCAGTGGGTTGGATATCCAGTTTCACAAAACCAATGGGTAGCAAGAAAAGACTTGGAATGCCCTAAAATATTGGCAGCTTATCGTGCTGAAAAGAAAGAAAAAAATTTATTGCTCAAAAAATTTCATGAAGAACCACGTGAAAAGGTACTAAGCGCATCAAAGGATAATGGAAAAGTCAAATTTAACATCATAGATAAAAATGGTAAAAATAAAGTTTGCACTACTGATGAAATGAAGAGGAAACACGCAAAAGCATTACTTGACTTTTACGAAGCACATATAAACTTTACTGATAAGCAAATTTACAATTCTATACAAAATAGGCCAATGTATGCTAATTAACTTGAGAAAAACAATTACAGTTATCTCTTAATTGACTCTCTATTAATGTATCCCAAGATTTCTTGCAAAATCTTCAAATATAATTATTATTTATCCTCTGAAATTCTGATAGATTTTATCTAACCACAAAGCACGATTCACGTACCTTTGATTTATGCCAACATTTTTAGAATATTTTTTTTTTTTTTATTGTTCATAAAATGTTTGAAAAGTACATTTAATATATTTTCAATGAATTTTTTTTCATACACATGCAATATTTGATTCTTAATTAAGAATATTTCTTCATATGATTAGAATTTGTACTTTTTTTTTAAATCAAAGATCGATACTTGTGAATTTCACATTGAGATCAGTATGCTATTAGTTCTTAAACAAAATTAAGCCAATTGTTTGAAAAAAATATTTCCTATTTTATGAATTAATCAATAGGTTATATCAAGAAACAATCATATGTTAATAAGTCATCCCAATTTTAAACCAATTTTCAATACTAATGAAAAAAATGATATTTGGAAAACATCATATTAATAAAAGAGTATTTAGTTAATATTAATACATTAATGAGTACAAATAAGTTCTAAATATGCCTTGAGATCAATGAGGTCATCACCTTTACCAAGTGCTTCTCTAATAAGATCATCAGCATCCTGATCTTGCAATGGTTCACCGATCTGGTTCAACATGTATCTGAGATCCGCGGCATGATGATTCCACTGATGTGTTTTCTGGTCAAGAACTTTTGCATCGACTTGAAGTGTAAGTAAAAACTCTTGTTGCTTAAATATATCAGCCATAGCTGCTGTTGCAATGTCTGATTTAATCTGTTGCTTGTTTTCTGGGTTGAATTTCTTCTTGAATGCGTTTTCTTGTTCTTCACCTTCAAAACGACGGCCGAAGAAAGAATAAAATGTAAGAATATCATCCCAATTGACATCACGATCTGGTGTCTTAATCATTGTCTGAAGTGTTTCAATTAAACGTTTTTCTGGTGGAACACTTAAAAGAGCAGCAACACCGGCAGCAATCGAGGATGGACTTGGACCATCTGATTGTGCTGGAAATGCTGGAGCTGCAGCTGGTGCAGTCTCTTCGGCTCCTTCTTCAGTCATTTTTCAACGTACACTGAAAAGTGACATAATCCTCATTATTTTTTTAAACAGTCACACACATTGTGTCAATAACATGGTAACAATGTTAAAATCGAATATTGAAGAAAATTTCTAAAAATAAAATTTTAGATACATATATCTCAAGATCTTCTGAGGGTTTTCCCGAAATTACCATATGCATTATTGCTCCCTCTAGGAGTATGATATTAGATAGTCAGTAATTTTGGTCAACCCATGTTTGACATATTAAATTAAGAGATTTACTTGATTAAAAAAAGAAAAGGAATTGAACAGTATTAAATTTTTAATTCCAAACAAGGTCAATAAGTTTTCTTATTTCTTTTTGCATGTCACCGCCATCTTTTCTTGCAATATTCAAGAATTTCAATCTAACTAATAATAAAGCAGCTTTATGAAGCAGAGAAACTCCTGTACCAGCATCATTTGTTGTTACAGTCATTTTCATGTGCTCGTTAATTTGTCCAAGCTCTGAAAACAAAGTTTGACATTCAGCCATTTTTTCTGACTTTAATTGAACTAATGCGCTATTAACGTGCTCAGCTATATCCGTCTTCCATCTCAAATTGACAAAAGCTGCAATTTCCTCTGCATTAGCTATATCTAAGTCATCACTCAAAATTGGCTTGAATTCTTCGAATAAACCTCTATCAACAAGCAGCTGGAAAGCAGATTCTGTGACAGATAAAGATGGCAAGCTTGCTTGCATTGCATCCAAAAACAAATCTCCAACTCTTTGTGCGCTAAAATCAGGTGCAAAACGGGAAATGAAATCTCCAAACTGAGTGAATTCAACTGATCCATCACAAGAAAGTAATTCTCTGAACTGGAACATAATTCTTTGACGAGACGTTTGATTAACATCAAGAAGGAGATCTAAGAGGATCTGCATAAAGATATCAAGTTCAACTGTCATTCCGCGCTTTGGATTGATGACTTTCTTTTCTAATAATCTTTGGAGATTTGGAAGTTCTGTATCTGGAAGTATTCTTGATGCAATACTAATGCATTTAACAATTGTAAGTCTAGGAAGACCAATTTCACATACAGGTTCTTTCTTAACGAGCATACAAATAAATTGCAAAACTTTAAGTTGCCAACTTTCCTCTTCTACTTGTTTCATGAACATTCCTACATTTGCGCTTTCATGTTTATAACGGTCACATGTATCCATAAACTGCCAAACAGCAGATATTGCAGGTTTATAGCCAAACATGAGTGCAATGTGGTATTTAACCACAAATTTATAAAGAGGCGGTGGAGAACCATTGACATAGGCAGCATCATGCCGAATCTTTGATAAATAAATATCATAAATTCTTTTGTTGACTTCTTCTAATGATAAAAATGGCAATTGTTCTCCATGTCTAGGTGGAAGCATTTGTGTAATGTTATTCATGTTTTCTAAAGTAATTGTAGTGTTTCCTGTTTTGGCCATTTGTCCCATTTGTTCTCTCATGAAAGTAAACTGCCTCTCGAAATGGGCACGAGCTGTATATAATGTTTGCTCGCGTTCTTCGAGTAATGCTTTTGTATTAGCTAATTCTTTTCTCATTTTAAGAACTTCGACTTCTTTATCTTGAATTGACTTTTGTTCCCAATCTATTTGAGACTTGTATCCATCTCTCTCTGCAGCAATTGATGAAAGCTGTACTTGTAAATCAGATAATTTATCTTCATATTCATCTTTCTGTTTTTTCAGTTCTGAAGCAAGTCTTTCGTTGAATTTGCTAAGTGAATCTTTCCACTCATCAATTTGAGCTTCTAAATCTGTATGCCATTGATTTTGCATTTCGAGTAAAATTTTTTGAGATCTGAGTTCCTCAGAAGTATCTTGTTCTTGCAATTGTAGGGCATGATTTTGTTCTCGCAATTCATTTATTGTTTTTTCGCTTTCTTTTTGCTGAGCAAGTAAAATTTCATTGTAAATACCAGGAATGTCATCGATAACACCTAAAAACATCTTAACGATACGAGCCATTAGTTCACCTCTTTCGTGATTTTCGCGTGTTATTTGTCTGTTTAGTTCATCAAGCGCAATTCCAAGTAAATCGGCTTTTTGTGTAAGCATTTGAAGTTTTGTTTTCTCTGGATGCTCTTCATCCATTTCCGTAACTTCTATTGAGTCCATCATTCTGTCAACAGCTGAACTTAGGTAGCGTACTTCATCTTTATAATTCGACGTTTTTGATGGCCAAAGAACGACATTCCATTTTCCGTCATCAAAGTAAATTTTATATCCTTTATTGGAAAAATCTTGTGGAAATATTGGAAAACTTTGAACTATATAATACTTCGTTGGAATTTTGGAATCTATTTCGACTTCTTCGATTTTAATATCTTGATTTGTTGGTGGTGGGCTATTACCTTGGTATGCAGCTAACCCAAGGCTCCTAAGGGTTCTCATAATTTCAACAAAAAACGAAAAATTATAAACGAGTATAAATTTTGTATCAAATTCAGAAAAATGCGAGGGGACGTGACCAACCTCAAAACTTTATTCAACTTATGCGCACAATAAAAATCTTGATAATATCACATTTTTTATCTTAATGAATTAAATGAAGTACTAATCGAAATGAAATTTCTACACTTGATTTCCTTGGCCTTTAGAATCACAGTGTAATGTTGATTAATACATTAATTAACTATTTTTTATTTTAATAATCCTGATGTTCGTAAGCCATTTAGGTACTAGTGGATAAGTAACAGTACTTTTAGGTAAAGCCTTCATAACAACTCTAGTTCAATGAGAGACTTTGCGAGTAGGGGTAATTTTAGCTAAAAGTGACACATTTGTAAAAAGTGACACACCCGTGAAGGGTGTGATTACCGATCGGTAATTTCGACAGTTTAGAATTTAAAATTTTTTATGGAACTGTTGCGAGTTTCATAAAGAATTTAAGGAATATAAGCAAAGATTTGAATCAAAATCTTAGACCTAAGCCGCTTGCTAAAGTAACTAATTTTAGCTGTCAAATACTTTTGTATTTTGAAGTAAATTAGTATAAATTTGTTTTTACTTTTATTTCGAAAAAGTAACAATAATCGTAAAAGGGTATTGATAGGCTTGCTAAAGTAACTAATTTTAGCTGTCAAATACTTTTGTATTTTGAAGTAAATTAGTATAAATTTGATATTATTTTAACTCCCTTTGAAAACCTCAATTTTCCATACAGAGGGGACGGGAATAGCATCCAATATTCCCTGAGAATGGTTGCGCATTCTCAGTTCCCTCTATATTTCGAACGAAGCTCTCATCGGTCTTTTTTTTTAATACTAAACGTTTTTTTTCCCTGTCACTTTTAGCTAAAATTTGGGTTTGCCAGCCATATTCGGACTTTATAGAAGCATTTGAAAAGCTTTTTCTCATAAAATCCAATGACTCTGTTGAAGATTTATGCAATATCATCACAAATATTTTGATTTCGAAGTATCAGCTTACCAAAAACCAACTATCGAAGATAGTTTTAAACGCACTTCAATATAATTATGCTTCATCGGAGAATTATTTAAAAATACTCAAGAATATTAACTTTAATAAGAGACTTTCTAAATTAACATTCCCATTGGATGGATCAATCGAATTTATTGTTATGCACGATCAAATTGATAAATTTAAGGAATATATTTCCCAAAGTGAACTTAAAAACGATAATTTTTAAATAATTCCTAATTTGAATGAAAATCATAATATCGATTTATCATTAATTGAGGTATGTGCATATTTTGGATCTGTAAACATTTTCTACCTCTTAATTTCAAATAAAAAATATACAATATCAACAAAATGTCTTCGTTATTCATTAATTGGTAGAAATACGGATATTATCAACGAATGTCTGAAGGATAATCAGATGGACAAAGAATGTCTCAGAGATATTGTACGTTCCCATAACAATGAAATGCTTGAATTTGTTTTAGATAGAAATTTATTTACATGTCAAGATTTCGATGGAAAAGAAACTATTTACGAAGATATAATCAAATACCAAAACTTGAAAGCTGTATTTCTACTATTCGAGAAAGAGAGAAACTTCATAGTTCCTTGGTGTGCGGCGTTTCCTCAAACAATAGATATTCTCAAAAACGAAAAACTTCCTGATAAAATTGATTTCCGAAAGAGAAACATTCTACATTATGCATCCATGTCACAAAATTCTGATATCTTCAAATTTTTATTTAACTCAACAAAGAATTTTGATGTCAATTATCAAGATGAATATAATATGACTGCTCTTCATTACGCCGCAATGTATAATAATATAGAAGCAGCAAGAATTCTTATTTCACACGGTGCGGATTTCAATACTAAAATTACTCTATTTTATCTGATCACAATCATTGTTATATCACATTATCTTTCATTTCATATCAATCATTATTATCTGAAATTTTCTTTCATTTGATAACAATCATTATTATATTGGATTCTCTTTCATTTCGTATCAATCATTATTATATAACATTAATTTTTATTTCAGATCAACCACTATTATATTTTATTCTCTTTCATTTCATATCAATCATTATTATATTACTTTCTCTTTCATTTCGTATCAATCATTATTATATGAATTTCTCTTTCATTCAATATCAATCATTATTTTATTTGATTCTCTTTCATTTAATATTAATCATTATTATATTTTATTCTCTTTCATTTTATATCAATCAATATATTATGAAATTCTACTTTATTTAATATTAATCATTATTATATTACATTCTCTTTCATTTAATATCAATCAATATTTTATGAAATATATTTTAAAATAACGAAAATCCACTTTCTATTGCTATCAAGGAAAAATCCATTGATATTGTTAGATTCTTAGTTGAACACGGTGCTGATGTTAATGTTAAACCTACTCACTTTCATTTCATATCAATCATTCCCATATGATATACTATCTCATTTCATATCAATCATTACTATATAACATTCTCTTTTATTTCATATCAATCATTACTATATAACATTCTCTTAAATTTCATTTCAATCATTACTATATCACATTCTCTGTCATTTCATATCAATCATTATTATATTACATTCTCTTTCATTTTATATTAATCATTATTATATGAATTTCTCTTCCATTTCATATTAATCATTAGTATATTGGATTTTCTTTGATTTCATATTAATCATTATTATATGACATTCTATTTCATTTCATATCATTCATCATAATATCCAATTCTCCTTCATTTCATATCAATCATTATTATATGATATTCTCTGTCATTTTATATCAATCATTATTATAAGGCATTTTCTATCATTTCAGATCAATCACTATAATATATATTTCTCTTTCATTTCGTATCAATCATTGTTATATATAATTACATTTTATTTAATGTCAATCATTGTTATATGTAATTCTCTTTCATTTCATATCAATCATTATTTTATAAGAATCTCTTTCATTTCATATCAATCATTATTATATTACTTTCTCTTTCATCTCATATAATTCATTATTATATATAATTCTCTTTCATTTCATATTAGTCAATATTATATATGATTTTCTTTCATTTTATATCAATCATTATTACATAAAATTCTCCTTCATTTAATATCAATCAATATTTTATGAAATACATTTTAAAATAACGAAAGTCCTCTTTCTATTGCTATCAAGGAAAATTCAATTGATATTGTTAGATTCTTAGTTGAACATGGTGCTAAGGAATAATTTATTTCTGACGCTTGACAGAACAACACACAACAAAAAATATTGAATGCTGAAGCACTCTTTAAAACTGTTATTACTACTACTAAAAATAATTCTTTAAAACAAAAACATTTTTCCCAATTTAGATAGAAATTCATCTTGTACGTTTCTCTTTCATTTGATGTCAATCTAAGGATCCCATATGGAGAAAAAATATATTTCCAATTCTACAGTCCGGTTTAGAGAAACATTACATGTTGTAAACTTCAAATAGTCAAAATATACATCTAAATTTTAGTCTAATTCCTAAATTTAACTCAATTTGCGCTCAAGCCTAATGCAGAGAAAGTTCTTAACATTCAATTAAGGGCGAACTTATCGTTTTCTGACATTCTCTCAATTTTTTTGACATACAAACTTTTTATCCCAATTTTCTAAGTCAAAAAGAAAATATTTTTGGTCCGGAAAAAGTTATTATAAATCATTACGTAGTACCTATTGTTTATTCATAAACCCATTTTCCTATGTAAAGTCTTACCATCATAGTCCTGCCTCAACAATGAGTGAAACTCTATAAAAAATTTATATAATTTTCATAAAATAGCCTTTATGAATAAGTCTATGATGCAAATTTACATATAATGTCAAAAACACATTTTGAATTATTGTTTCTATCACAATTGTTATTCATATATCACCTAAGAATGTATAGCTATCAAATACAAACTTTCATTGATAATATTTTTAAAATTAGAGAAAAAGTTCACCAAATTATATTGCAATCAATATGACAAACCCTTTAGACATTCTGTAATTTTCTGATTATGTTAATTTTATATGAATAACATCACATTTTTTCTCTATATGAATTCAAAAAGATCAATAAATCCACAAATAACATAACTCCAATATTATATGAAACATTGATGTATAGTGCATGATATAATAATCAACTAGAGTTGGATTTATCCATCGCATTCTAAATAACATACCAAAAAAATAAAAATTATTTAGATACAATTACAAAGGGTAAAGTACCAGCGAATTGTTAGATATTTAAACCCATAGAACAGTCCTGAAACTGTATTTGTATAACTAAAAATATAATAAATGATATACAAAAAAATTCTAATTAACATAAATAACATGTTTACATGGATTTTAGAAGAGTGGTGAAAATCTGAGTGGATCCGGAGGAAGATATGCAGATTGACGATATTGGCAGGTTCTTGATCGTTTACGCGGCTTTGTCTTTGTAGTTGCATTGAGCTTCGCCTCATCGTTAATCTCCGATTGCCAAGAAGAAGCTGCCGTCTCGCGTTTAATCGAAAGATTTTCTTGTTGAAGTCTATGGAGCTGATCCTTTGACTCTTCAATCTTTTTATTGATTGACTCTTCCTCCTTTGAAAGTTCAGCGATCTCAGCCTTTAAGGATTCTGTGAATTGCTGAATATATGTTGAAGCAGTTTCAGGAGAGCTTAGTTTTGCGATAATATCTTCTTGGCGGATTTTTCTAAAGTAGGAAATTCTTGTTTCGATTGCGTTATTCTTTTGTGTCAATCTTTGTAATTTTTGTTTAAGCGCTGGATATTCTCTTTGCTTGTATTGATATATTCTGTCATCGAGTGATTGCTTTTCTTGCTTTAAATGAGCAATTGACGATCGATAAAATTTTAGGGGCGCAGAATCCCCTTTTTGCTTTGTACTATCGGTCTCAATCGAATCGATTTCGGCTAAAAGTTGAACTTTTATCTCTTCTTGACTCTTAATTGCTAAGTTGATCGTGTCAAGAATGCTTGTATCTTCCATTTTTGAAAAAGTGACAGTAGCAAAATTTCTATCCGATTTCAATAATTTTTATTGGGCCAGTGACCAAACATGCTTTAAAATGCCTTAATTAATAGATTTATCACGTTTGAATTCAATTATAAGAGATTTCAAAATTAACGAATTTTGTTTTATAAAAAATAATTGATTCCTCTTTGAGTCATGTACACTAGATTTGATAAAAAAGTATATAAAAGTATATCCACTTTAAAGTATTCAAATAATAAATATGTAATAGTATAGGAGAGAATTTAAGAGTTCATTATACGATGAACAAATTCTGCGTAATCTATTAGGCCATCCTTATCAGGATGAGCTTGTGCTATCATATCATCTATATCTTCTTGAGTCATAGGATCGCCTAAACCTTTAAGTACTGATATTAATTCAGTAGCTTGTATCTTTCCATGACTATCTTTATCAAAAACTCTAAAAGCATCAACAATATCATCTTCTGTTTCAACTTCATCGAGTTGAGCACACCAAAGTCTGCAAAATTCTTCGAATGATATTTCTCCACTGTTATCTAAATCGAGAGTGGACATTAATTCTTTAACTTCTTTCTGTGATGGATTTTGACCGAGAGACCTCATGACTGTTGCGAGTTCATTTTCGCTAATTTTACCGTCAGAGTTACGATCGAAGATATCGAATGCATCTTTTGCCTCTTTTATTTGTTGAGGTGTCAATTCAGTTTTCTTCTTTTCTTCCTCAGTCATTTTTGAATAACGTTCGTTGTAAATTCAATATATTTTTTTTGCTAAGGGGAATACACCATTAAAGCCCATATCATTTTAAATTTTGATATATGAAAATAGTTTTATAACAAATCTTTTTTGTATAATTTTTAAGTCAAGAAATTGAAAAAATTCATGCAAATTAATCAGATTTCAAATAAATATTTAGCATAAATATAGTGGTCCATATCACAAACTCTTTGCGATTGTTAGTATTTGTCATTCTTGTGCTATAAAATTATCCTATATGGTTTTCTATTAGTGTGTCCTAAGAAGCAATATCAAACTTCAGCGAATTGATTGTTCATAAATTATTTAATTATCAGTAGCATAGAGTTGTCAAGTATAATACCTTCTGAATAATAACATATATTCATGACTTGTTAATAATCCATTATTGCAGAGTTCAAATTTTATTTTTTTTATGAATAGATAATTGTAATTAAGGGTGCACTTACCACTTTCTGACATTCTCTCAATTTTTTTCACACACAAACTTTCTATCCCAATAATCTATATTGTGTGTAATATTTTTGGTCAGGAGAAAGTATATGTAAATCACTATATAGTACCTAATATGACAGCTATACTTTTCTGCTATTAAAATAAAGATAGATTGATTTTTTCCATAGCATGTCAGAAAGTTGTAAGTGCACCCTTAATCATTTAGATTATTTGGATCATATTAGGTTTTGCAAATGGGGGTGCAGTTTGTCCATTATTATCCAACAGAGATAAGATATTCAACAACTTCAAGTTGACTTTTTTCTGATGCCAAAATAAGTGGAGTATATCCATCATTATTCATTGCTTCTTTATCAGCTCCAACAGTGATAAGAAATTGAACAACTTCAAGATAGCCATTAAATGACGCAAAACTAAGTGGAGTATATCCATAAGGAGTCTTTGCTTCTTTATTAGATCCACATGGGACAAGATATTTAACAACATCATGATGGCCATTTTCCTACAAAACTCTTTGCATCTTTATCGCAGTGACATTCGATGAGAAATTTAATGCAACCTTAAACAAAAGATTTTAAAATCTCATATTTTGTTAGTATGGATATAATATGTTTAATAAAATTAAATTTTACTCACGTGTTGACAAAATATTTTGGATTGATATTATTTTGCACCTGATCTAAGAAGAAGTTTCATGATCTTCTTATAGTTTTCATTCTCGTTTTGTTTCTCTTTCGCATAATCAAGTGCAGTTTTTCCAGCATCGTCTTTGTCACTAAGATTGACACGGATTGAAACTAAATATTCAACAACTTCAAAATGACCTTTATTTGATGCCCAATGAAGTGAAGAACTATTATAATTTGTTTTATCATTTTTATTACATCCTATTTGAATCAAATATTTAACTACTTCAAGATGACCATTAAATGATGCAATAATTAATGGAGAACTTCCTTCATTATTTTTCTCATCTGGATTTCCTCCAGCTGAAACAAGATATTTAACTGTTTCAAGATGGCCATTTTGTGATGCAATGTAAATACAATTTGCATTACGTTTATGTTTAGAGTTTACATCACAACCAATACTTATCAAATATTTAACAGTTTCAAGATGACCGTATGATGATGCAATAAGAATTGGATTAAATCCATTTGTTTTTGTTCGCCAATTTTTATCAAAGCCAACTCCAATTAAATATTTTACAATTTCAAGATGTCCTTTTAATGATGCTTTAAGTAAACAATTGTTTCCGAATTCATTAATTGCATTTCTATCACAACCTCCTTCAATAAGAGATTTTGTTAATTGAAGATTTCCATTAAAACATGCATAAAGAAGTGGAGTATTTTGATCAGAATCTCTCTTTTCACTTAATCCAACTGCACATGAAATAGACATCTTCAGTTTATCATCTTTATCTGAAAGTTCTTTAAGGAAATTGTAAACTGACTTAAAATCATTTGAATTCAACGGAATTTCACATATTTTTGCAAATTCATTGATAGATTGATTTAATTGGCTGTTTTTGTTATTGAGAGAAGATATTTCGTCTTTGTATCTTGTATTTTCTGTTTGAATTTGATTAAATTTGTTATTAAGATTAGATATTTCGTCTTTGTATTGTTTTCCTTCGTTTTTGTATTGGTTGATTTCATTTTCCATCGTAGCGATCTTTGATTTGAGGTTTTGAATTTCAGATTTTAATTGTGTGACTTCTTCTGAATTTGAATTAATTTTTGCGTTGTATTTCTTAAGGTAATCAATTAATGAACGACAAGATTTGAGTTTCAAGTTCTTTTTGTAGCAATTAAGAACGTTAATCGCGTCTTCGAATGAATCAATTAAAACATTGCATTTCCGAATAAAACAAAATAGTTTATGTGTACTGTATTTTGATTTACCTTGAGAAAGAAGAGCATTGAAATCGTGAGAATTAAGATTGGCTTTTTCTAATACTTTTGGAATGTCATCTTTATCTACAATATCATAGAAATTCTCTTGTTCGATATATGTTTGAATGTTGTTAGCGATATAATCAAAATCAACAGTCAGACCTTGGCTCATCGAAAAAAAATTTTGAAAGTCGTTTTCTAAAAATCCTATTAAATTCCAGTGAATAATTGTAGAAATCAAGATTTCTCAATAAATTTTAGAAGAACATCTATTGTTCATTTGCAATTTTAATCGAGAGAACACAGGAAAAATCTTGAAATGAATTTGAATGTTTTTTCACAAAACATGAATTTACCATGAAATATAATTATATATGTTGTTTCTAACAATTTCCACTATATTATCTTCATTAAAAAACGTTGAATGTGCATATATTGTATATTTTTTCTTACCTTCGAAAAAGGTGATGGTAAACGTCCCAGACGATGGCAAATGAAGGCAAAACCGTATCTGGGAATGGACTGCTGAAAAGCTTTGGCATATTTTCCACCAAGTAAGCATTTATCACTTTCTAGTTTAATATTCTTTAACTTGTGAACTAGATTTCACAATAAAATAAATCGTAAATATAGCTTAAACACATCATACTTTATCTTTTCACCGCTTTAAAATCTAAAATAGATCTCAGGAAGAAGATTAGAAAAATAACGCACTTATTTATAAAGTAAACAAAGGATATCTCATCAATGAACAATGATCCATCTGACTTTAATTCAAATTTCTGACAACAGACATGAAGCATTAATGAAATTCAACCTTAAACAACAGAATTGAAGACCGTATCATACTGGTATAATTACACCAGTAAGGATGCCATCACCAAGTCAGATTTTTCGTGCATGTAGAATCTGTTATTCCGCTATATATGATTGTTAGAAAAATAAAAAAATATTTTTTTTAGAAAAAATAAACAATAATTTTTTTTATTAAATTTAATCCTGTTTTGATTCCTGGTATTCATTATTGAGTTGTAGAGCTTGTTGCAGTGATCGCAGTCTCTCTACTTCATACTCAGCAACTGCCTTTCGCTGTGATAATTGTTGTAATTCAGAATTAATGTTATTTATTTCTTTTTGGTAATCAACCAATTCGTAATGTGTCTTTGTCTTCAACATGTTTTGGTCGAATGTGAAATCAGGTTTTTCAAGGATTTCGTATTCATTGATTGCCTTCGAAATGTTGATTTTAGTTTCATCGATCGATTTCTTCAAATCATCAAGTCTTCTTTGGAGTGTTTCCTTCTTAGGGAGGTTCTCGAACTCTTTCATCTTCTCGTTCATGAACTTGTTCTCAACTTCCCAGTGTTTGTTCCACTTTTCGTGTTCTTCAAATTTGAAAAGTCTCCAATGTTGGTTTGACAACTTTGAACTGATGGATTCATGCTCACCGCCGTTGAGAACAATCTCGTACTGCTTGATAACAAGGTCGACGGGGTCTGGAGAGATAGGAAGTTGCTTAAATTTCATGGTTTTGCTTTGTGCAAGGAATTTCGCGGTTTCAACCTCTTCTTGGGTAGGAATCTTCATTTCTCGTATTGTACGGTCTGCGTCGGCTTCTCTCGCTGCTAATGCATCCTCTCGTTCGGTAATATTTACGGAAGTATTTTCGGCTTGCTCGCGACGGGCTTTCGCTTGCTCTAGTCTGAAAATGGCTGACTTCTTACGCATGTCTATGTCTGAAAGTGCATCGATAGCACGTTTGGCCCGGTTGTGGGACTCAACTAAACGTTCATCTAAAATTTTCTCTGTAGCTTCGCTTTCGTATTGTTGACATATGTGAGATGAGGCTTTACTCTCAAGTTCTAATGCTTCTGTCTCGTGTTTGATAGTTTCTGTTTCCATATCTTTTACTAAACTAGACATTCTATCATTATGTTCGTTCTTTTGAAGAGTACTCTCACTACGGACAATGCGCGTGCTTTCTAGATCGAGAACAGCCAGCTGCGCATTAAGTTCTTCTTCATCAAGATCATCAAACTCTGAGGGCTCTGAAGTAGAAGGAGGATTAGACAAATCATTAAGTATAGATTTAAGAAATTCGTTGAAATATTTTTCTTTTTCAATGATTTGCTGTTGTGTGGACAAAGAAGCTGTAGATTGAACTTGAATTGATGTTTGCTTATCCTGATCGTTGATTTGTTTGAGCTGTTGCTTAACTTTATCTAATTTGATATCAATTTTAAGACGCTCGTCTGTGAGTTGCTTTTGTTCAGTTTCTAACTTTTTTGCTTGAGTTCTGAGCGTATGCGATTTAGAATGCATACTCATATGTGCTTCTTGTATCTTCTTGCCTGCCATTGTTTTCAGTTGAACTCCAGATGCTAATGATTTCGAAGTTTTCATTTTTTTTTCTCTTCTGAGAAACAAAAATCAGTTTACAAAATTTTAGTCACTTTTTCCGTCATAATTATCGGCGTGGAGCACCAATAAGAGTAACTCAGTAAAGACTCACACCTTTTGAATAATCTGTCTACAATGATTTAAGCTTAATACAAGCATTTAAAAGGATTTACATAATGATCAAAACAGAATTGATTGGTTCAAAGATGTATCTTCACAAAAAGATTAGAGTACTATCATTTAACCGCATAAATGAAAACGCAGCTGTCACTATTGTGAAATCTTGAATGAATACAATTGATAACTTGAATATTAGTCCAAAGGTGCGGAAAATCTCTCCAGATGCAGATTATACATTTTATGTAGATGGAGAAAACTTAATTTGGAGAAAATCGGCAAATACAATCTTGAGTTTTATAATCATCCAGAATTATCGAGAAAAATCCCTTAAATGTCAACTTAATTCAATGCAAGTAGTGATTGCCGCTAAGTTTGATTTGATTTTTCGAGAAAAATTAGAATTTCAAGTTTTTATATCCGTAAAAAATTTGTTTTAGTTTTAATTTTTTCAAGAATAAATATAGTCAAAAGTGTTTTTAGTTTCTCAAAGCCGCAGGTAAGTATCCGATGCTCTCGCAGAACTCAGAGACCTGTTTTGGCACTTCCGCGAGAACTTCGGCAGGGAGAGCACCCCAAGCATTGCCCTGGAAATTCCTGAATGGTACGAACTGTACGATATCTCTCTTTGCGTAAATTCCCTGTGAATTTCTTAATCCTCTCTCATCTCCATCGAGAGCGTCCATTGCGCTGAAGTCTGCGTTACCTACACCGACAATAATGATGGAAAGAGGTGCATCAGAGGCAGCAACAATCGCATTTGCCGTTTGTGCGAAATCATTGATCGCTCCGTCAGTAAGAATGAGTAAAATCGTGTATGTCCTTGATTGTGCGAATGACTGGCGTGCAATGGCTGATGCAGCACTGATTACGGGCGCGAAATACGTTGGTCCAGATAATTGAACGTTTCTGATTGCGTTTCTGTAGACATCCAAGATTCCTGCCATGCCCTGGACGTTTGGTTGCTCTGGTCTGAAAGTCAGAGGGAAGCAATGGTCGACTTTTCCGTTGATACATCCACCAAATCCGTAAACTGGGAATAATTGATCGGTATCGTATGGGCAAACAATTTCGCCGATGGAGCAGATGCATGATTCGTACTGGTTCATGACACCTGGAGCGATGTAGTGAAGTGAATTTGGTTGATTTGGTGATAAGTTGGATCCAGTAAAATCTATCGCAGTAATTAAGTTAAGTTGAAGTCCATCCTTCAAGTAGTCGACGAGGTTTGCGGTCTTTTTGATTCTGGCAGAGCGGATTCTGATAATTCCAGTCTTCTTGTTCTTTTTGTCCATGACATCGATGTCTTTGCCAATGCTTGCGACAATGTTGTTGGCAGTGAGTTGAACTGAGCCGATAACTTGGTCTGGCTTCGAAACATGATTATCCATAAGGGAAATAAGGATCGGACAGTCAGCATTTCCATTTGCAACTGCTTGGAGTGAGACTCTGAATGGAGCCCATGTGCATCTGTAGCATTTCGGAATAACTTCGGAGCGGAAAACTGGAATATTTACTCCAGACTCAGAAAGCTTGGACATCATTAAGAATGGCTGGTTCTTGGAGAATGTACGCATCTTTTTCATCTTAACAGCTTCGATTTGTAAGTCAAGAACTGTATTATTGACTGTAACTTGCTCTGCAACAATTGTAAGCTTAGCTTTTGTAGATTTGTGTGATTGGATTGGGAATTCTTGCTTCTTCTCAAGGTTTGTAGCCATCGTTTGTACATCTGTATCAACATAACCGATCAGATCATGAGATTTGAGAGCAGCTTTCTCAGAATCGGCATCATAAATGGCGAATCTGAGTGGTTGACGTGTTTCGAAGATGTAGGCAGCTTGAAGAACCTTGACAAAGTTAGGATTAGGGTTATTCCAAATAACTTCTGTTCTTGCGATTTCAATATATGTTCCGTTAGCTGGAATTTGCATAACAATCATAGGATCTGATGGGCTTGCAAGATCGAGACGAGGTAAATCTGTGCAGGAAAGGTGCATGTTAATAATCGGCTCTTGGATATTCATCTGGTTCGCAGTAACATCCGAAATTCTCGCATTGTCTTTGTTAAGTTTGTTTTGTGGCTTAAACTGTTGTGTGTAGCCAGAGTATGCTATTGACATTAAGGGTGCACCAGGGGGATCATGTAAACTTCAGAATTTAGAACCTTAATTTTTAAGCAATAACTTGGTACCTAAATAGGTAGTAAAACTCTAAAAATATCAAAAAGTACAACTTGGCTCCATAATAATCCTGTCATGGTGGCTGTTTGTATCCCCTAGTATTTTCCTCTTGAATCTCTTTTTCTGTCGAAATTAAATTCAAATCTCAGAAGTAGAAGTGAATAATCGACTTATTACTGCTATTATACGAATAAATAAATTCATTATATTATTTTTATTTACATAATATCTGTTTGAAGTCCATAATTCTATAAATTTTTCTTCAAAAACATTACAATCTTGATAGTTTTGATACTGTTTAATAGGTTTTTGGCACCTTATTTAGTATTTACTACGTATAGAGTCGATCTGAACTTAATTTTCGGAAATTTAAAATATTTATTATAAGTAAAATCTGATTTGAAATTTATGTTTAACTACTCATATCTTGCATTATCCTGAGTAGCTTTTGTAAAAATTCATCAAAAAAGATTTTAACGTGCTTTAATTTTTATTTTTTAAAATAATGCATATTATTATATAACTAGCATATTTAAAATTTTAGTGCTTTCAAAAATTTAATCCTCCTCCTCTCAAATAAACGTACATCCGGGTGGCCTGTTTTTTGCAAAAAATAAAATTTCATTTTTTATGCTTAAAAAGTCAGAATTTTTATTTGCTTCTGGGATATATGATGGCTATATCAGATGCCCATTCTTTTTGATACTCAACATTAAACATAAAACTTAGCCGTTAAGGCTCTTCTGAAAATATTTTTTTTCCGAAAAATTTTCGAAAAAAATCAAAAAATTTAAAAATCCCCGAATCTGCAGGGATTTTAAAAAATTCTTTTTAGTAAAACTTAAGGATATTGTATCAGATATATTGGTATGGGCAAATTCAATTTTAATCCAATATTCATCGAGATATTAAGTTAACGAAGCTTTCAAAATTGAGAGGGTAATCCTCCTCCTCTCAAATAAACGTACATGCGGGTGCACCCTTAACTTTTAGTTTTTATGAAAAAAATTTGAATGCAAATTTTTCACACTTTCTAAGTGAAAATCTGAATAAACAAGCTATACTGAGAAATGTTGTCTCAAATAAAGCGTTATTTGAGAGGATCCAAAAAGTGACAAAATTCTTGTAAACTACCACAAAACATGTCACTTTTGACATACACTTCCAAAAAAATTTCAATACAGTTCCATCAAATAGATTAACAATCATTCCATATATTTCCAATTTTATTCATAACATTTGCGGTTCTTCTTTCAATTATCTGAATATGATATGTAAAGATCTCAATTTCATAAACAAAAGCAAAATCATATATTAATGAGTAGATCACTTTTGATGAGATCTACTAATATTTTGGAAAATAATCTGCCAACAAACTACAACACCTTCCCAGACATTTAGAAATTGTTCTCTTCATAACACACAATGAATAGCATAAATAGTTGCATCAAGTAACAGTTTTTTACACTCAGACTGTGTGGGAATTCTTAAGAGATTTGTTTCAATATTTCGAATTATCGAGAATTGAAAATATTAGATGCAATTTTTAATATAATAAGTGTGGCACAGTGAGATCCAATCCACAATGCATTTCCAATTTTACCAAAATTCTTTGATTTGAGGCATCATTTAACTGATTTATGAAAATATAGGTACGGGAAAAAGGTGTATTCGCGGGAAAAAGGTGTATTCACCCCCCAAAATAGGGGAAGGAAAAGTTTTTAGAAAAAGATAATAACACCAATAAATAGTAAATATTATCCTTATATTATTATTAAAATTTTGTGAATGTTTCTTTGTTGGTTCTTGAGAAAATCGAATTTTATATTTCAAAAATAAAAAATTTTATGGCGGAGGTTTTTGTGATATGGAAAAATGTTAGTTGCTCAATTATCTCACTATTGGATGGACTTTTATCGAGCGAAATTTTGGCTGTAAAGACAATTCTGATATTGGTAACATGGTGATAAGAACAAATAGTCAGTTTGCATGGTTTATGATGAGATAATTTCGATTTAAAAAAAAACATAAAAATTGATTTTAATGAGCGATTATATTTGAATATGCTCTCCTAATTTGAAGGAACTGGTTAAATCATGAATTGATCATGAATAATTTTTTTTCAAAATAACAATTATAATTTCATATTCATTATAAGTTGAAAATATATCATAAAGACTTTATGAATGATAAATTCGTAAAAAACAAGTTAGTTTGTTTCTGAAAATAATAATAATAAAAACCAATTTAGACCCAATAATTTTTGGCGGGATAATTGAGATGTTACGATTGAATTAAAAAAAAAAGCGGTAATACATTTTTACAATGATGAAGAGGCTGGCAACCTCTGAGTCAAAGCACTTGTTAATGCAATGATGAAGAGGCTGGCAACCTCTGAGTCAAAGCACTTGTTAATGCAATGATGAAGAGGCTGGCAACCTCTGAGTCAAAGCACTTGTTAATGCAATGATGAAGAGGCTGGCAACATCTGAGTTAAAAATACTTTTCCCAGTGTGGGAGTAATTTGAAAAAAAAAATTTAGTTCAATTATTGTAAAAAAAACAAAAGTAAAAATTAAAGTTTAATAGGTTGTGTTTTGATGAGCTAATTGTTAAGATATTGTAGTTCTAAAGAAAATGGAGTTTCGAGGAAGTTCTCGACAGAGGAACTTTCATATCGAATGTTGCCCTTGCGAGATGTATGACAGGCAAAGTGCAATCACCTATCAATATTGCACTTTGCCTGTCAAAAGTTCGCATCTCTTGAGGGTGAGGAAGTTTCTCGACAGAGGAAACTTTCATATCGAATTGCCTCTTCGAGATGTATGTGACAGCAAAGTGCAATCACCTATCAATATTGCACTTTGCCTGTCAAAAGTTCTTCGCATCTCTTGAGGTGTGAGAAGTTTCTCGACAGAGGAAACTTTCATATCGAATGTTGCCTCTGTCGAGATGTATGTGACAGGCAAAGTGCAATCACCTATCAATATTGCACTTTGCCTGTCAAAAGTTCTTCGCATCTCTTGAGGTGTGAGGAAGTTTCTCGACAGAGGAAACTTTCATATCGAATGTTGCCTCTGTCGAGATGTATGTGACAGGCAAAGTGCAATCACCTATCAATATTGCACTTTGCCTGTCAAAAGTTCTTCGCATCTCTTGAGGTGTGAGGAAGTTTCTCGACAGAGAAACTTTCATATCGAATGTTGCCTCTGTCGAGATGTATGTGACAGGCAAAGTGCAATCACCTATCAATATTGCACTTTGCCTGTCAAAAGTTCTTCGCATCTCTTGAGGTGTGAGGAAGTTTCTCGACAGAGGAAACTTTCATATCGAATGTTGCCTCTGTCGAGATGTATGTGACAGGCAAAGTGCAATCACCTATCAATATTGCACTTTGCCTGTCAAAAGTTCTTCGCATCTCTTGAGGTGTGAGGAAGTTTCTCGACAGAGAAACTTTCATATCGAATGTTGCCTCTGTCGAGATGTATGTGACAGGCAAAGTGCAATCACCTATCAATATTGCACTTTGCCTGTCAAAAGTTCTTCGCATCTCTTGAGGTGTGAGGAAGTTTCTCGACAGAGGAAACTTTCATATCGAATGTTGCCTCTGTCGAGATGTATGTGACAGGCAAAGTGCAATCACCTATCAATATTGCACTTTGCCTGTCAAAAGTTCTTCGCATCTCTTGAGGTGTGAGGAAGTTTCTCGACAGAGGAAACTTTCATATCGAATGTTGCCTCTGTCGAGATGTATGTGACAGGCAAAGTGCAATCACCTATCAATATTGCACTTTGCCTGTCAAAAGTTCTTCGCATCTCTTGAGGTGTGAGGAAGTTTCTCGACAGAGGAAACTTTCATATCGAATGTTGCCTCTGTCGAGATGTATGTGACAGGCAAAGTGCAATCACCTATCAATATTGCACTTTGCCTGTCAAAAGTTCTTCGCATCTCTTGAGGTGTGAGGAAGTTTCTCGACAGAGGAAACTTTCATATCGAATGTTGCCTCTGTCGAGATGTATGTGACAGGCAAAGTGCAATCACCTATCAATATTGCACTTTGCCTGTCAAAAGTTCTTCGCATCTCTTGAGGTGTGAGGAAGTTTCTCGACAGAGGAAACTTTCATATCGAATGTTGCCTCTGTCGAGATGTATGTGACAGGCAAAGTGCAATCACCTATCAATATTGCACTTTGCCTGTCAAAAGTTCTTCGCATCTCTTGAGGTGTGAGGAAGTTTCTCGACAGAGGAAACTTTCATATCGAATGTTGCCTCTGTCGAGATGTATGTGACAGGCAAAGTGCAATCACCTATCAATATTGCACTTTGCCTGTCAAAAGTTCTTCGCATCTCTTGAGGTGTGAGGAAGTTTCTCGACAGAGGAAACTTTCATATCGAATGTTGCCTCTGTCGAGATGTATGTACAGGCAAAGTGCAATCACCTATCAATATTGCACTTTGCCTGTCAAAAGTTCTTCGCATCTCTTGAGTGTGAGGAAGTTTCTCGACAGAGGAAACTTTCATATCGAATGTTGCCTCTGTCGAGATGTATGACAGCAAAGTGCAATCACCTATCAATATTGCACTTTGCCTGTCAAAATTCTTCGCATCTCTTGAGGTGTGAGGAAGTTTCTCGACAGAGGAAACTTTCATATCGAATGTTGCCTCTGTCGAGATGTATGTGACAGGCAAAGTGCAATCACCTATCAATATTGCACTTTGCCTGTCAAAAGTTCTTCGCATCTCTTGAGGTGTGAGGAAGTTTCTCGACAGAGGAAACTTTCATATCGAATGTTGCCTCTGTCGAGATGTATGTGACAGGCAAAGTGCAATCACCTATCAATATTGCACTTTGCCTGTCAAAAGTTCTTCGCATCTCTTGAGGTGTGAGGAAGTTTCTCGACAGAGGAAACTTTCATATCGAATGTTGCCTCTGTCGAGATGTATGTGACAGGCAAAGTGCAATCACCTATCAATATTGCACTTTGCCTGTCAAAAGTTCTTCGCATCTCTTGAGGTGTGAGGAAGTTTCTCGACAGAGGAAACTTTCATATCGAATGTTGCCTCTGTCGAGATGTATGTGACAGGCAAAGTGCAATCACCTATCAATATTGCACTTTGCCTGTCAAAAGTTCTTCGCATCTCTTGAGTGTGAGGAAGTTTCTCGACAGAGGAAACTTTCATATCGAATGTTGCCTCTGTCGAGATGTATGTGACAGGCAAAGTGCAATCACCTATCAATATTGCACTTTGCCTGTCAAAAGTTCTTCGCATCTCTTGAGGTGTGAGGAAGTTTCTCGACAGAGGAAACTTTCATATCGAATGTTGCCTCTGTCGAGATGTATGTGACAGGCAAAGTGCAATCACCTATCAATATTGCACTTTGCCTGTCAAAAGTTCTTCGCATCTCTTGAGGTGTGAGGAAGTTTCTCGACAGAGGAAACTTTCATATCGAATGTTGCCTCTGTCGAGATGTATGTGACAGGCAAAGTGCAATCACCTATCAATATTGCACTTTGCCTGTCAAAAGTTCTTCGCATCTCTTGAGGTGTGAGGAAGTTTCTCGACAGAGGAAACTTTCATATCGAATGTTGCCTCTGTCGAGATGTATGTGACACAGTGCAAAGTGCAATCACCTATCAATATTGCACTTTGCCTGTCAAAAGTTCTTCGCATCTCTTGAGGTGTGAGGAAGTTTCTCGACAGGAAACTTTCATATCGAATGTTGCCTCTGTCGAGATGTATGTGACAGGCAAAGTGCAATCACCTATCAATATTGCACTTTGCCTGTCAAAAGTTCTTCGCATCTCTTGAGGTGTGAGGAAGTTTCTCGACAGAGAAACTTTCATATCGAATGTTGCCTCTGTCGAGATGTATGTGACAGGCAAAGTGCAATCACCTATCAATATTGCACTTTGCCTGTCAAAAGTTCTTCGCATCTCTTGAGGTGTGAGGAAGTTTCTCGACAGAGGAAACTTTCATATCGAATGTTGCCTCTGTCGAGATGTATGTGACAGGCAAAGTGCAATCACCTATCAATATTGCACTTTGCCTGTCAAAAGTTCTTCGCATCTCTTGAGGTGTGAGGAAGTTTCTCGACAGAGGAAACTTTCATATCGAATGTTGCCTCTGTCGAGATGTATGTGACAGCAAAGTGCAATCACCTATCAATATTGCACTTTGCCTGTCAAAAGTTCTTCGCATCTCTTGAGGTGTGAGGAAGTTTCTCGACAGAGGAAACTTTCATATCGAATGTTGCCTCTGTCGAGATGTATGTGACAGCAAAGTGCAATCACCTATCAATATTGCACTTTGCCTGTCAAAAGTTCTTCGCATCTCTTGAGGTGTGAGGAAGTTTCTCGACAGAGGAAACTTTCATATCGAATGTTGCCTCTGTCGAGATGTATGTGACAGGCAAAGTGCAATCACCTATCAATATTGCACTTTGCCTGTCAAAAGTTCTTCGCATCTCTTGAGGTGTAGGAAGTTTCTCGACAGAGGAAACTTTCATATCGAATGTTGCCTCTGTCGAGATGTATGTGACAGGCAAAGTGCAATCACCTATCAATATTGCACTTTGCCTGTCAAAAGTTCTTCGCATCTCTTGAGTGTGAGGAAGTTTCTCGACAGAGGAAACTTTCATATCGAATGTTGCCTCTGTCGAGATGTATGTGACAGGCAAAGTGCAATCACCTATCAATATTGCACTTTGCCTGTCAAAAGTTCTTCGCATCTCTTGAGGTGTGAGGAAGTTTCTCGACAGAGGAAACTTTCATATCGAATGTTGCCTCTGTCGAGATGTATGTGACAGGCAAAGTGCAATCACCTATCAATATTGCACTTTGCCTGTCAAAAGTTCTTCGCATCTCTTGAGTGTGAGGAAGTTTCTCGACAGAGGAAACTTTCATATCGAATGTTGCCTCTGTCGAGATGTATGTGACAGGCAAAGTGCAATCACCTATCAATATTGCACTTTGCCTGTCAAAAGTTCTTCGCATCTCTTGAGGTGTGAGGAAGTTTCTCGACAGAGGAAACTTTCATATCGAATGTTGCCTCTGTCGAGATGTATGTGACAGGCAAAGTGCAATCACCTATCAATATTGCACTTTGCCTGTCAAAAGTTCTTCGCATCTCTTGAGGTGTGAGGAAGTTTCTCGACAGAGGAAACTTTCATATCGAATGTTGCCTCTGTCGAGATGTATGTGACAGGCAAAGTGCAATCACCTATCAATATTGCACTTTGCCTGTCAAAAGTTCTTCGCATCTCTTGAGGTGTGAGGAAGTTTCTCGACAGAGGAAACTTTCATATCGAATGTTGCCTCTGTCGAGATGTATTGACAGCAAAGTGCAATCACCTATCAATATTGCACTTTGCCTGTCAAAAGTTCTTCGCATCTCTTGAGGTGTGAGGAAGTTTCTCGACAGAGGAAACTTTCATATCGAATGTGCCTCTGTCGAGATGTATGTGACAGGCAAAGTGCAATCACCTATCAATATTGCACTTTGCCTGTCAAAAGTTCTTCGCATCTCTTGAGTGTGAGGAAGTTTCTCGACAGAGGAAACTTTCATATCGAATGTTGCCTCTGTCGAGATGTATGTGACAGGCAAAGTGCAATCACCTATCAATATTGCACTTTGCCTGTCAAAAGTTCTTCGCATCTCTTGAGTGTGAGGAAGTTTCTCGACAGAGGAAACTTTCATATCGAATGTTGCCTCTGTCGAGATGTATGTGACAGGCAAAGTGCAATCACCTATCAATATTGCACTTTGCCTGTCAAAAGTTCTTCGCATCTCTTGAGGTGTGAGGAATTTCTCGACAGAGGAAACTTTCATATCGAATGTTGCCTCTGTCGAGATGTATGTGACAGGCAAAGTGCAATCACCTATCAATATTGCACTTTGCCTGTCAAAAGTTCTTCGCATCTCTTGAGGTGTGAGGAAGTTTCTCGACAGAGGAAACTTTCATATCGAATGTTGCCTCTGTCGAGATGTATGTGACAGGCAAAGTGCAATCACCTATCAATATTGCACTTTGCCTGTCAAAAGTTCTTCGCATCTCTTGAGGTGTGAGGAAGTTTCTCGACAGAGGAAACTTTCATATCGAATGTTGCCTCTGTCGAGATGTATGTGACAGGCAAAGTGCAATCACCTATCAATATTGCACTTTGCCTGTCAAAAGTTCTTCGCATCTCTTGAGGTGTGAGGAAGTTTCTCGACAGAGAAACTTTCATATCGAATGTTGCCTCTGTCGAGATGTATGTGACAGGCAAAGTGCAATCACCTATCAATATTGCACTTTGCCTGTCAAAAGTTCTTCGCATCTCTTGAGTGTGAGGAAGTTTCTCGACAGAGGAAACTTTCATATCGAATGTTGCCTCTGTCGAGATGTATGTGACAGGCAAAGTGCAATCACCTATCAATATTGCACTTTGCCTGTCAAAAGTTCTTCGCATCTCTTGAGGTGTGAGGAAGTTTCTCGACAGAGAAACTTTCATATCGAATGTTGCCTCTGTCGAGATGTATGTGACAGGCAAAGTGCAATCACCTATCAATATTGCACTTTGCCTGTCAAAATTCTTCGCATCTTGAGGTGTGAGGAAGTTTCTCGACAGAGGAAACTTTCATATCGAATGTTGCCTCTGTCGAGATGTATGTGACAGGCAAAGTGCAATCACCTATCAATATTGCACTTTGCCTGTCAAAAGTTCTTCGCATCTCTTGAGGTGTGAGGAAGTTTCTCGACAGAGGAAACTTTCATATCGAATGTTGCCTCTGTCGAGATGTATGTGACAGGCAAAGTGCAATCACCTATCAATATTGCACTTTGCCTGTCAAAAGTTCTTCGCATCTCTTGAGGTGTGAGGAAGTTTCTCGACAGAGGAAACTTTCATATCGAATGTTGCCTCTGTCGAGATGTATGTGACAGGCAAAGTGCAATCACCTATCAATATTGCACTTTGCCTGTCAAAAGTTCTTCGCATCTCTTGAGGTGTGAGGAAGTTTCTCGACAGAGGAAACTTTCATATCGAATGTTGCCTCTGTCGAGATGTATGTGACAGGCAAAGTGCAATCACCTATCAATATTGCACTTTGCCTGTCAAAAGTTCTTCGCATCTCTTGAGGTGTGAGGAAGTTTCTCGACAGAGGAAACTTTCATATCGAATGTTGCCTCTGTCGAGATGTATGTGACAGGCAAAGTGCAATCACCTATCAATATTGCACTTTGCCTGTCAAAAGTTCTTCGCATCTCTTGAGGTGTGAGGAAGTTTCTCGACAGAGGAAACTTTCATATCGAATGTTGCCTCTGTCGAGATGTATGTGACAGGCAAAGTGCAATCACCTATCAATATTGCACTTTGCCTGTCAAAAGTTCTTCGCATCTCTTGAGGTGTGAGGAAGTTTCTCGACAGAGGAAACTTTCATATCGAATGTTGCCTCTGTCGAGATGTATGTGACAGGCAAAGTGCAATCACCTATCAATATTGCACTTTGCCTGTCAAAAGTTCTTCGCATCTCTTGAGGTGTGAGGAAGTTTCTCGACAGAGGAAACTTTCATATCGAATGTTGCCTCTGTCGAGATGTATGTGACAGGCAAAGTGCAATCACCTATCAATATTGCACTTTGCCTGTCAAAAGTTCTTCGCATCTCTTGAGGTGTGAGGAAGTTTCTCGACAGAGGAAACTTTCATATCGAATGTTGCCTCTGTCGAGATGTATGTGACAGGCAAAGTGCAATCACCTATCAATATTGCACTTTGCCTGTCAAAAGTTCTTCGCATCTCTTGAGGTGTGAGGAAGTTTCTCGACAGAGGAAACTTTCATATCGAATGTTGCCTCTGTCGAGATGTATGTGACAGGCAAAGTGCAATCACCTATCAATATTGCACTTTGCCTGTCAAAAGTTCTTCGCATCTCTTGAGGTGTGAGGAAGTTTCTCGACAGAGGAAACTTTCATATCGAATGTTGCCTCTGTCGAGATGTATGTGACAGGCAAAGTGCAATCACCTATCAATATTGCACTTTGCCTGTCAAAAGTTCTTCGCATCTCTTGAGGTGTGAGGAAGTTTCTCGACAGAGGAAACTTTCATATCGAATGTTGCCTCTGTCGAGATGTATGTGACAGGCAAAGTGCAATCACCTATCAATATTGCACTTTGCCTGTCAAAAGTTCTTCGCATCTCTTGAGGTGTGAGGAAGTTTCTCGACAGAGGAAACTTTCATATCGAATGTTGCCTCTGTCGAGATGTATGTGACAGGCAAAGTGCAATCACCTATCAATATTGCACTTTGCCTGTCAAAAGTTCTTCGCATCTCTTGAGGTGTGAGGAAGTTTCTCGACAGAGGAAACTTTCATATCGAATGTTGCCTCTGTCGAGATGTATGTGACAGGCAAAGTGCAATCACCTATCAATATTGCACTTTGCCTGTCAAAAGTTCTTCGCATCTCTTGAGGTGTGAGGAAGTTTCTCGACAGAGGAAACTTTCATATCGAATGTTGCCTCTGTCGAGATGTATGTGACAGGCAAAGTGCAATCACCTATCAATATTGCACTTTGCCTGTCAAAAGTTCTTCGCATCTCTTGAGGTGTGAGGAAGTTTCTCGACAGAGGAAACTTTCATATCGAATGTTGCCTCTGTCGAGATGTATGTGACAGGCAAAGTGCAATCACCTATCAATATTGCACTTTGCCTGTCAAAAGTTCTTCGCATCTCTTGAGGTGTGAGGAAGTTTCTCGACAGAGGAAACTTTCATATCGAATGTTGCCTCTGTCGAGATGTATGTGACAGGCAAAGTGCAATCACCTATCAATATTGCACTTTGCCTGTCAAAAGTTCTTCGCATCTCTTGAGGTGTGAGGAAGTTTCTCGACAGAGGAAACTTTCATATCGAATGTTGCCTCTGTCGAGATGTATGTGACAGGCAAAGTGCAATCACCTA